ACTAAAGGCATTTAAATTCTGTTATATATCAAATCAAGCAGTGAAGGAAGAAGACAGCTTTATTAATGAAAATTTCCCAGGGTGTCAAAGTCTTTTCTCAAAGTAGCAGCACAATGAGGTGGGATACACTATGAATGGTGGCTCATTCATATTTTTTAATGGATTGCTGTTACAGGAAGTGATGTGATTTATCAGAGTTGTCCTATGCAGTAGAATATTGAGAACAAGTCCCGAACTGAATGATGGCAGGAGGAACTATTGACATTAAGATTACAAACCCTTACAGTTCAGATTACTTTTTTGTGTAGCCATCACTTTTCAACAAGTGTCTGAAGTCATACCCCCTCAATCCGCATTCCAGCAGTTTAGTCCTTGGGCAATTAAAAAATATGGGCAGAAAAACATAATCAAGTTTAGCAAATGCATATAAATAAAAATCTCTCTATGTTAAGAATTCAACTTTAAGATGATGTTTTTAGAAGGGCCAGTGCATGCATCTAGGGAGAAAAGGGTATAGAGATCACATAGGTGTCCTTTATGGAAAGACTTCATATAGATGAGATCAGAAAGGTTAAAGCTGAGCAGATTATAGGCGATCAAGAAATGGGCTATCAATAGAGGCAAAGCTACAGAGGACTTTCATTAATTACTTTCTTGTACAGATGTTGCGATGTCTAGCTGTTTTTCTCCTATACCTATCCCGTTCTCAAACTGCCGATTTCCGAGAGTAAATATGCAATTTTTCTCCTGTAAACTCTGCCCTGCAGGTTGTTGCGATCGTTAGCAAGAGCAGGAGCCTGTGTGGAAGCTCCATGATCAGCTGCACAGGTGTGAACCCTGCTGTTCTCTCAGAGTCAGACTACAGCTTCAGCACCATTCGTCTCCCTTGAATCTCACTTATCAAGCCTTCAGATGCTCTACACAGGACGACCGAGAGGCAGGCAGGTGCTTCCTGTGGCTGCGGGAATACTTGGCTTCTGCCTGTGCCCTGAGGCAGCAGCAACAGTCCTTCCTGGATTCACCAGCCACCCACATTCCAGCAATAAAACATATGTTTAAAAAGGCTTAAACCAGGCAGGTGAGCTGAACAGTATTTAAATTGCCTACTTGAATTGAATATCCACTTGTGGAATTAGGGTTTATGCAAGGCATCCTATAAGGAAGCAGGGGGCAGGAGTTCTGATGTACTGTGCTTTCAAGTTGTATGACCTTGGGCAAGTAATTGTTTGGGGTCTCAGTGTTTAACCTTTAAGGTAAAAATAATGACACCCTGTTTGCTTAAAGTCACTGGACAAAACAGAAGAATTTCTTCAAGGTTCCTTCTAGATTCAAGGAAGATAATGATAATGTGAGTTTTTCTCCAGGAAGAGATACTTTCAAAAGATACTTTCATATTTGACTTGCTTGATTGGCATAGGGTGAAGGAAGTAAAGCAGCAGTTCTCTTTACCTGCCTAGGTTGGAGAGAACCTAAGGTCTCTGTCGGATTTCAGAACTACGGCTGACTTAAGGCATGTCAACTGCTGACAGTTTTATCAGTCCCACACACTCCCCATTAATGCTGACTTTTTTCAGAGTGAGAAAGATATTTCTTGATCTGCATGTGAGCCTGGCTCACTGGTCAACTCCTTAAGCAAAGTAAAAACAAGATGGCCCTTTCCCATCACACAAGCAAACTTTGCTGGTATCTCTGAACCTAGCAGGGAGAAGGGCCTTAATTACTCACAATAAGAGTGGTCTTTAGAGGTTCAATTCATGTAACACTTCAATGAAGAATGAAGAATGTTCTTTTCTCCCTGAAGTTTCTTCAATATCTATGTAAACTTGCCTATCTCATTCACAGACCATCCCGCTTCCTGCAAAAAGGGAAACAAAGTCCACTTGCCTTTTATCCACCAAGAGCTTCCCGATCCAAAGGTAGCTCTTGGTCTCCATCACCCCACTCCATGGCAACCGGCAAAGACAAAGCTCTAGCTACCACACAACCTGAAAGTCTGGCACTCTCTGAGACACTAAGTTCTTTCAAATAATAAGACCATGGTTTTGTTATCTCCATCTCACCATAGATGAAAGGGTGGTGGTGACCAGCCACTGAACAAATCTTGATCTAGAAATGGTCTTCGTGATCCTCTGTTTCATTGTACATTCAAAGCAGATCTTGCATTTTTGAATTGCATGCAGCCTCTACTCAAATTAAAATTTGCTGCCAGTCATTAGTGGGTGAGACCATAGCACAACAACAGGTGGGTGAGTGAGTGCATGTGTGCGTGTGCACGTGCGTGTGTGAGTATATATGAAGCACATGCCTTCAAAAGCAACTGCCCACAGATAAAAACAATAGATTGGTCTTTCTTTATTGACTTGGATTCATGAATGTAGTTATGACTTAATCTTAAGTTTCTCCACCTGCCCCATACTTAAAAAAAAAAAAAAACTCTCACCTTTGCCAACATTTTCTGAAATTGAAGCTTTTACATTCACTTGAATTCACTTTATGGTGCGTGCAACAGCCAACTTGTTCTTGACATTAAGATCTCTGCTTAAACATCGTTTCTTCCAGGAAGCCTTCCCATCTGGTGCTGTTCCATCTCCCCGGGTACTGGGATCCCCTTCCCCTTCATTGCTTTACGCGGCTCTTGCTCCCTCCTGCACATCATGCTCCAACAGAAAAGACACTTCTCGATGTCTACTGTCGGCCTGGCTTCACTCAGATGAGAAATAAAAAGTAATTTGAACAGCAAACTTCGGTATAAAAAATTATTACCCACAATAAGGAATCAGAGAGAAATGATTGGTCAAAGTGAAAAGCTTCTCATCAGTGTCTCTCAAACTTTTTCTACCTGCTAATCCTTTTCGCTAGGTAAATTCTGGGCAACCTTGAGTCAAACGGTACCTTGAGGAGGTATACATATCAAACATTTACTGACGATAAAATCAAAAAGAAATTTATTTTGAAATAACTCATTGATGTGTTTGTAAGTTAATCATTAAAGATGAAAAGGACATTTGCATACTAATGAGATGAAAGTGCGTCTTTATTTTCACACCAAGAGTGAAATCCCAGCTGAATACCTGATGCTGCTGCCGGACATGGCAGCATTTTCAGAGCTGAGAGACACCACGAAGAGAATCACCAATTCAGAAAGCACCACTTCGCATAAGCACACAGAACCAAATGGCAGAAGAATGTTTAGGGCCACCTTGGAAATTGTTGGAGATTCTGTCCTAATCTCAAGCCAAAATTCACTGAATAATTTTTTTTTCATGAAGCTCAAGTCAGCAATTCAAACAGCAATTTTAAAAATCAAACATTCTAACACAATCCTATCCAAAGACATACTAATTTGATACTTACACGCAGAAGAAGAGTGGTAGGAAAATATTAAAAATCTGTTTTCTATAATTAAATTATTTTTCCATAAGAGCGGAAAACGTTGTACGTACACTACAAACACTGAAATTCATAACTTACGGTAGTCTAGACTCCGAGCGAAGGTGTTCCAGTCGTCTTTCAGGGATGCTGCATAGCATGGCAGCATGGACTTGTGTGTTCAGAGTCAATGCTACAGTCCTGCAGTGGAACACTGGGCCAGAAATACCTTTGATACATTATACATTTGATTTTGGATTAATTTTTGGTTATATTTTCAGGATTTTTAAAACTATAGCTATTTTGTGTATGGGTGTGTGCAATGTAGGACCCGAGACATACAAAACAGGTATAAAGTGGAGCAACTGCCCCTAGTACTGAGACAGAACACCCCCTACCTCCACCCTCTGCGGAAAAGGAATTATTCCTGCAAGACCCTGGGAGACTCGCGGATTTAGAACTGGAACTTGCTGGAGAAAACTCTTGTAACCAGCTGAGAAGCAGATGATTCCAGCTTGAAACCTGCTTTCTGTGGCTGGTCAGAAGTCCACACATCAGCATCTGCTGGAAATGCATTTTGTGCAGTGATAGGAGGATCTGTTGATGGGGGTATATGCTCAGACTCTTCCTCCAAAGCCACCTGACTGTAGATTGGGGGAAGTTGCTGGCCGCTACTCCCTTTTGCTCCTTGTTCTTTGGGGAATGACCCTGCACACACACTGGACTAGGAGGCAAACTTCTTTGTCTTGGAATCTCTCCAGGGCCCTCTATTGATGAACCGGTTCTCTCAGCTGGAAAACAGTTAAAGGGTCCAGACTCACTTTCACTGAGCAGACAAAGAGAGTAAAAGTTAGAAGGGCAATAAATCAGTAATAGCCACGTTTATTGTTAAGTTCTCTTATTTTGGCATTTACGATATGCTCAACAGGTATGTCCTGAAATAATAAATGATTTGTAGCCTTTAACCTTAGTAAAAAGTGTTCTTGGCCTGGGATCTGTCACTTTTGAGATTGGACCCTGTGAGGCATGGCTTTTATACACCAGTGATGCCACCAAAGCCATCTCATATGAGATCTCTGGAATCTCCCACTCTGTGGTAGAACAAAATAAGCCCTTAAATCATTACCCAGATCGGCTCAACTGTGAAAAGACTGAAAGAAGCAAAGGGAGGGGAGAGTAGGAGACAGGACCCACAGGAGCACCACCCATCGTGCTGGAGGCAGGACTGAAAGATGTGTTGTCTCACCCAGCATCTTTCAGAGGCCTGTTATAAACTATGCAGATCCGACTCAAGGCCAAAACAGAACACACAGACGCAGACTGCAGTTTAAAAGTATCCTTAAAAAACAAGAAACACCCGTTTTTCTCCAGCCACTTTTCTGTTGACACAAACTGTTGAGAGAGGTTAAGAGAAAGGTCTCTACTATAAGTTGATATTTCCTATGAATAAAGTTCCTTTCCACCCTGATCCTTTCAATAGCCCTTCAGGCTCTGGTTTCCTGTCCTGGGAACTGACTGCATGGAATTTCAGGAAGTTGAATCCAAATGACACGGCAGCCTTCTGTACTGACAACACAGGGCTTGGTTTTGCCAAGGCCATCAACAAGCATTTACTGAGCACTAGCGACAGGTCAGGCATCATCCAGGGCAGTTGGAGCATAGCCCTGCCTAACCAAGTCCCAGGTCCCAGGGAACTTACTACCATTTGACTGAAATAGAGAAAGAACGTGGAACTTCCCGTAGAGACACCGTGGTAATAAGCTACTAAAAAGTTCCAGGGAAAGCAAATAAACAGCCTCAGAAAAACAGTGGCTGTTCGTGTTCTGAGACTCAGTGTCCTAATGCAGACGTGGTTATCACTCAAGCCTTCTGAGAATGTCTCAGAACACTGCTGTACAACGGATGTCTGGGAACTTCAGAAAATAATTTAGGTCAGCAAGATAGCTCAACAGGTAAATGCACTTGTCACGCACAAGCTTGATGCCCAGGGGTAGTGAACACACACACACACACACACACACACACACACACACACACACGCTCACGCTCGCTCTCTCATTCCTCCACCACTAAATAAAGGTGTAAAATTTTTCAAAATTTATTGGAAGCCAGGTTAAAAAACAGGCAAAATAGAAACATATTTTGCTTAACTGATATTTTAGAATGTAATTCCAATCAACACGCGATCATTACCGAGATTTTTTTCCCTTTTTATCTCCTCACGTCAAAATTCCGTCTTTATTGGAATTGGCCACATTTTCATAGTTGAGTATAGGATAGAGGCAAGTCCTTCGTCGTCTTGTTTTGGAAATGAAGAAAATTGTCTGCAGAACGGAAGCATTCTATGAGCTACAGTTGTGGATTTTTAGGAAGGCCATTGCCCCAGTGTCTTCAGTGGCCAGTGCACAGGAGCCCCACAAGAACGCCTTGAGTTTAAGCTATTGATTTTCTTTTCTAAGGAAAACGTCATCATTAGGAAAAAAAAAAACCGGTTTTCCCACTTTTGTTGAACCAACAGCCCCGTACTAGTCGGTACTCAGAGTGGGTCTCAGGAATAAATGTCCCAAACGCAGCGACCACGGCTATAATCCTGCTTGACTTTTTCCGAATTACTCTGATTGCCCACAGGTCAGAGGTTTCTTAGGGCAGCTTGCTAGCTCCCGCATACCCTTTAAGCCCCCAAACTGCCGCGGGCTGCCTCCCCCGGACCCTGACCCTCCTCTCCAGGCCATCTTGGGTCCTCTTTTAACCGGGGACGAACTTGACTTGTGTCTCCCAAGAAAGGGAACGTTAGAGTCGGTTGGCCGGCCGGGAGGCCCCGGGAACAGCCCAGTGCACGCCTCCCGGCTGTGGCTCTAAACCGGGCCGACCGCGTCCGCGCTCACGCGGAAAATTATGCCGACTCCAGCAGCGCGTAAAATGGATGTGAACCGCACGTAGTGGGATCAGCGCGATCCTCCCTCTCTTGTCTCAACAGGGGTTTCGGCGCGTTGCACAAGGCCGAGCTTGTCTCTTTACCGAGACATCGGCCCCTAATTAGTGCGCACCCCGGCGCGGCCGCCCAGCCCGGGCTCTGCGTCGGGCGGGAGACGAGCCTCGGAGGGCGTCTTCGGACCGGCCTGCAGGCTCACCGCCGCCGCCATCACCGCCGAAACCTGCTTCTAAAGATGCAGCCAGGGCATCAGCGACAGAAGCAGCCGCTGCTCGCCACCCCACGTTACTTTGATTGACAGCTGAACAAATGTTTCCGCGGTTCGAACGCTCGCGCTAGGGAACGGCGGCCAGGGCGAGGCTCCGCCCCGGGCGGACCGCTGCGCCCCGCCCCCGCCGCTATCAATCCTTTGCATTCATTGGTCGGAACTACTCGTCACGCCCTGCCCCCACGTGGGTCCATCCTGTTCGGCCCCGCCCTCCTGGCTTGCCATTTGTCAGCGGTGAAATGATGGGCAGTAACACAGAACGGCGATTAATGTTCAGCCACCTCCGATTGGTTGGTGCGGCGCCCTCGCGCCGCGGGAGGGCGGAGCGCCTGGAGAGCTCCGCGGAGCGCGCGCGGGGCGAGCCGGAGACTGTAGTCAATCTGGCGTCATCTACGACCACAGTAGCCTCGCGAGGACTACATCTCCCGGGATGCTCCACGGGCCCTCCGCGGATGGTCGTGAATATGTATCAGAATGTTAATGATTAGCTGCTGCTAAATTTGGTCAAAGAAGTCACCTACACAGAGCGCGTTGTTAGAGCCGTTCCGAGCGGGCGTTCGGCTGTTGGCTGCCTTCTTCCCCCTCTTACACACTCGTGTATTATTTTGAGGTGGTGTTCGCAGAGTTTGAAAGAGAATTTTAAAAAGCCGCAAGCGTTTCGCTCTTTTATTTTTATAATCCCCTTCAATTTGGGGCTAAAAAAACAGGAAGGAAGAAAAGGAAATGAAATGTGGTAAAAGAAGCTAAAAGGTGCCTTTTAAAAGATCGTTGCTGTGAAGTGAAAAATCTCCAGAGAACCCCCAAGCGCCGCGAGACCTCTTCCGAACCAAAGGAGTTTGCGCTCGCTCTCAGGGAAGAAGCGACCATTCATTCCGAGGAATAGCAGCCAATTAAAAGACAAATAAAAAAAGTTTGGAG